AGTGATTGTATTCTGGACCAACTGTAGTTTCTGAATGCTTTTCAAGACTAGCCCAATGTAGTTCAATAAAGATGTGACTAAGGCCTAACTTGAAGTGAGTAATAATTATCATTGCAGGAAAGTTTGTTATTGGTGTACAAGATGTTTTGGCCACAGGTGTCACCTGCTCCTCAACTTGGAGTTACACGTCCAAGGAGAATCCCAAACTGCAAACTACTGAGGAGAGTGAACAATGGAATCTCCAGGACAGCATCATGTACTTAGTTAAGATATACAACTGGATATCATCAATATGGGCATGTTAACGTCAGCACACAGGTGAAACCTGACTCCATGCCAATGTCTGATCTCATCCAGTGGTTTCATGTATAGCTGATGTTGAATAGGAGAATGTCTGGCTTTGCAGCATCTCCCTCTTAAAAATCCAAGACATAATCTCTCTCCATGATTGGAACCCTTTCTTCAGAAAAGACAACCAGTATAATAGAGTGTTTCTGCTTCTAGATCTTGGAGATGGCTTAAAAGGACATCATGACCAATGGCACTGAAAGCCACTGAAATATTAAGCAAGACCAGAAAAGTTGTACTTTTCCTATAGGTGCAGTCAATGCTGTCTCTCCGCTGATAATGGGCCTGAAACTAGACTGAACCATAACTTTCATTTCCTCCCAGGCCATCTTAGTTCTAGTCCAGTGGTTCTCAACCTTTTTATACGGCGACCCCGGTCATAAGGGCGCGCTGCGCATGCGCGCCGCCCCATGCGCATCGCCCCCATGCGCGCCACCCCCACGTGCGCCCTTGCGCGCCGCACCCCATGTGTGTCACGCCATGCACCCTGCCCCATGCGCGATGTGCATGTGTGGTAGCGCCTCATGCGTGACATGCATGTGCAGTGCCCCCATACGCGTGGCACACATGCACGGCAGCGCCCCCATGCGCGACGGCATCCCCATGCGCAGCGCGCATGCGCGGCGGCGCCCTGAGGGAAAAAATGGCGGATCGCGTTGTTTGGTGACCCCTGTAAAATGGTTGTTCGACCCCAAATGGGGTCGCGACCCAAAGGTTGAGAACCACTGTTCTAGTCCATCCAATTTCTTCACAAAAAGAAGTAATGGAGACAATAATTGCCCAGTGCAACTGTATCAAATGATGGCACACTACTGCCACTTTCAAGGAAGGGGTTATTATATAATATGCCTTTTCATAAGGACACAATTACTACTGCATCAACCCAGATCCCCATGAGCTGACTGCTGATAGCAAGCAGAAGAGGTGTTGCTGAGGTTACCTACAAATTATAATGTTCAAACTGAATATATTTAATGGATATACTTTTCTAGAAACACAAATGCACTGAGAAGATGAAGAGCAGAACATCACCTGTGGAATGTATCTTTATCACATAGCTACAAAAGGTATGATAATGCTATTTATTGAAAATTGTAGAATATAAAAAGACAGCTACCAGTTATATGTTTGAAAGTGCTAATCTTTGTTGCTATGACTTGCAAAGTAGGGAACACCTTTTAGCCGCATGATCCAATTGCTTGCTGGGAACTCTAATTCTGGACTTATTAGGAAGTAGAAAGTTCTCCCCCACCTGTATTCAATCTGAGCCAAGCACTTGGGAAAACTGCAAAATACAATTCTTGCCAAAATAGACTCTTCAAATACAATTTGGAGGAGGAGTTTTCTGTGGGAGTTTCTGCATATCAGTTGAAGTGTACCCAAAGAGCGTGCAAAGGCATTTAATGCAGAATGCTAACGCTTAGAATTACATGTAAGAGAAATTACTTATTTATTTTGCAAACAGAAAGGGATTTAGATTCCATCCTAAATGTGGCTCAGTTTCATACTCTGCAGTGGGTGGGGAACACATGAGTTGTAGCCCAATGCAACAAAAATGGAATAGATTAATAGCCATACTTCCTTAGTAGTAGTCTACTTATTGGTACTCTATAGTTGCCTTGGATTTCAATTTCTAGAAGTGAACCATCATGATAGAACTCTCAGAGTGGCAGTTAATATAAATGAAAGACAACCAATTGAGGAAAGCTGTTTAAAAGGAAATGGATCATTAGTTCATTTTAATGATAGGGGAATAGAATTAGGGAATGTCATGCCATAAACTGTGACATACTATGAATGTATGTCAAACTGCCGGCCCATGGGCTGATGCATCATAGTGAAACCGCACCCACCCCATTGCGGGCAATGGCAAAAAACTCACGATACGTAGCGACACGTCACATAACGTTGCAAGTTTGACACCCCTACACAAAATGGAGCCCCATTAAGCTCAATTGCCTTTACTTCCTAGGAATTAACCATAGGATGCTTATTTAGTAATGCTGAATTCCATGGAATTACTGTGTGGGCATGCACTCAAGGTCTTATGCACATTAAACTAGAATGTGCTTCATTATTGAAGTTTAGCCTTATTAATTTAAATTAGTACCATCACCATTTGCTGTGGATATTGGCAGTGTTGCAAAGAAAAGGTAAATGAAGTTAATGGAACTTCAGCGTGACATCATTTTGGAGCAAAAGGAAATGAAAGTATTTAAAAGTTTCTTACTAAAAAGATTCTCCAAGTTACTTATTATTTCCACAAGAAACCTAGCAATATTTGAGTGGACATATACATGTGTGTATTTTTTCTCATCTGTAATAATTAATACTCAAAGCCAACTGATGAACATTTGCAAGCAACAGTGAGATTGAATTTTGTGAGAGTAAGGAAGATGATCATGATAGAGACAAGTCAGACCTGCTGCTAAAAGAATGAGAGGAAAAACATAGCTTAAGTCCAAAACAAAGCGAAAGAATGCAGAAACTGCTCAGACAGACACTGCCCTAATTCACACGGATATATGAAGTGGAGAAAGTTCAGCACAATCAGACTTGCAAGATTCTGTTATAATAGCCATTCCCAATAAAAATATTAATGTTCCTGTGGAGTTGATTCCTGGTCTGGATTACCTAGCTGACAATTTTTTATCTAGATATAAAACCAAATTTAAATGTTCCATTTAACGAAAAACGCTGTCAGTTAAATAGTCAAAGTGCTCAATTCATAGCTCTATTTAATGTCTTAATTTAATGTCTATTTAATGTCTTAATATTAAGATGTCTTAATATGATTTTGTTATACTTATTTCATTTTCATTTCTTCATTTTTTACATATTTCAAAATTTTCTATCATTGTATGATAAGTGTTGCAGCGTTCAGACTAATGTAGCAGTCCTCAATTGTCCCTCTTGATAATTTGAGACTGAGAACTGTATTATAACATTGTGAAAACATTACTTATAGCAAAAGAGATGCTTTAAAAAATAGGTTGCACATGAATATCACCAGTTATTTTCCTATTTTTTTCTTTTATGGCACTTAGTGAAGTTTCTGCCCTGTATATTTTTGTTTTAATCAATGAAATCCAATTTTATTTTTATTTTTTCATATTAGGATAATATAGCAAACACTGATCACATCAATTTACTAAGCACTCACCCTGTATAAAGCTGGCACTGGGTTTTAAATAAGGGAAGGTTGTCAAGCACAAAGTAAATACATAGTCACACGTGGTCCCCAGCTTATGACTACAATTGAAACAATTTCCATTGCTAAGGGAAGGCAGTTAAGTGAGTCACGCCTGATTTTATGACCTTTTTTGCTATGGTTGTTGAGCAAATCACTGCAGTTGTTAACTGAATCATGCAATTATTAAGTGAATCTGGCTTCCACCATTGACTTGCTTGTCAGAAACCTGGTAGGAAGGTTGCAAATAGTGACTGCATGACCATGGGACACTGCAACCATGATAAATGCAGACTGGTTGCCAAGCATCCAGATTTGATCATGCGGCTATAGGGATGCTGTGACAATCTTAAGAACAAGGACTGATTATAAGTCACTTATTTCAGTGCTATCATAACTTTGAACTGTTGCTGAATGAACTAGTAGTTGAGAACTACTATTTCTACAAACACAGTATAATATAGTATCTCCATATCCACTTTTTATTTTTTATTTTTTTTTGTAAAAGACTAACTTTGGTATAACAAATTATTCTATGATGTAAAAACTGAGCACTGATGCCATCTGCAGTTTATAGGGTTGCAGAGTATTTTAGGATTAATTTTGAAAATATTCAAAGTTTTAGTTTTATGCTCATTATTTTAAATTAGCTTTTATTCAGTTGGGAGACTTCTGGAGGTGTGTGTTTAAATAAAGAAATGTGTGGCAACCTGTAGCAACCACCGCCAGACTTACATAATGTGAAATCACAGTTGGACGTCTTTACCATCCTTGAAAGCTATCTCTAAAAAGAGTTCTTTTTATGAGTGGCAAGAAACCAAATCACGGTGGTATAATGGTAAGTCAAAGAAAAGTATAGGTTTTCGTTAATTTTTGCTCGGGATAAGTGGGATTTAAACAAATAAGGCAACAGGACAACTTTGGTATCTACCTATGTTGATATCATAAGAAAAATACTAGGCGATCTGATCCTAGTGCTCTTCGGTATCCTGAGATACTCTTGATCAAAGCCACTTGTCTCAAATGGTAGGGACCCTGGTCTGAGCGGGGGGGGGTTGACTAGAAGACCTTCAGGGTCCCTTCCAGCTCTATTCTGATTGAAAAACGGAAGAGTAAGATCAACATGAGTAGCTACAAGAAGACGGACGAAGGGGGCTCTTAGCCAACATTTCTGCCCTCCCATCCCGCAGAGTGAATGTAAGGAACTAGATTCCCGACAGGGTTTCTAAACATTCCTTTCTCCTTAGCAAGTATAATATTAATTGGGAAAAGAAACCCTTTTCACGAGGAAAATAAGTGAATCTCAATTTTTATTAAAACTCCTTCGGGGAGGGGGGGGGAAGTACAGGCGCTTCCAAAACATTGCAGACACAACGGCACAGAACTCTACCTTGCTTCCTTCTGAGGCTACAACATCCGGGTTGCGGACAAAAGAAGAGCCAGCCCAGCACTTTCACGCTGGCGCTGCAAAACCGGAAGCGGAAGTACAAACGGAGGGCCTCATTTGGTGGATAGGTCCCTTTCGCTGGGTGCTTTACCGGTGTTTGGGGGGCGTGGGACGGAGGAGAACGGCCGGTCCCCCTCCCTTGCGAGGAGGATGCTCTTGTCCTCGCGCGGGTGGGGGCGGCACCTCGGCGTGGTCTGGCTGCTCGCGTTCCTTGTGGCAGGTGAGGAGAGGGTTCGGTTGCCATGGCAATGCTGGGTGATGGGGAAGGAGCGTATAGCCAGGAGGAAAGAGCTGCTTTTAGACGCGCTTGCCGGTTCCGGTGGCCTCTTTGTTTCCTGGGAGTTCCCCCCCCCCCCGACGTGAGTGGGGAACGAGGCAAAGGAGCCCCTCCTGCTGCTTTCCGAAGTATGATGCAGATAGGGCGAACCAGATAGCAAAAAATTATTCTGCTCGCAATCTAGTAATGCACCATATCACAAAGAGTTTTCAGAAGTGTGCATTTCCGTGGTTTTCAGGTTGCCTCGTTCTTCTCTCTTCTGAAATAAAGGCTATTTGCATTTCTGATGTTAAAGAGAATAAAGCAAGGCAAAAGTGTCTAATCAGATTCTCACTTTGAGCAAATTAAGGATGTGTGGTTAGGCTGCATGAAATTTTAAATGATGTGAATTTCTCTATAGTATATACCTACACCCATGTATGCATGTATGTGTATTTTGTAGCAGAAACAGATGAAACATCTGACCTGCTGTCAAAAGAGTTAAGTGAAACTTCCCTACCATTAAATCAGGAAAGCAGTTCTGCCCATTCAAGCAGCGATGGACATAGAGAATCTGTACAGTACAGGACTGCAGAAATTGCTGATGCTATGATGAGTAGTAGCCTTCTTGCCGACCATCATGTCGTATTGTCAGTTATTCCAAGTGACACAAAGAAGTCACATCTCTCTGAAGCAGACACTGGTACTTGTGATGCAGCAGCAGATGGTGAATGCAGTACGAATAACATGGCATCTGTATCTCAACAAGTGTCGCATGCACAAGAGCCAATAATACATCCACCAGTAGTGTTGGAAGCAGTGCATCCTTCATCAGCAGAGGACTCAAATAACACAGATGGTACGAAAACCCCAAAAGTGAACTGTGAAGAAAGAAACATTACAGGAATGACAAATTTCACATTACAAATTTTGAATATTTCCCAGGTAAGTGACAAGTATTCTGATGTATTTCTCCTTAAGTTAAAAGTTGGCAATTGTTTAGGTGCAACTAAAATAGGGTCTGGGTAGGACTACAGCTGTGTTCCTTAACATTGGCAGGTTTAAGATGTATGGACTTCAACTTCCAGTATTCTTCATTGCTGGCTGGGGGATTCTAGAGATGAAGTCCACACATCTTAAAGTGGCCACAGTTGAGAAACACTAGACTAGAGTAAAAAATGTGTCTGCTTATGCTATTACAGTACTTACTTGTTTTATTTGCATGCTGTTGAATCTGTTTTATTCAAGTGTAATGGAACGACAGTATTCTATTAAGAGAAGGAGCTAATGAACTGGATTGAGGAATTGACTTCACATAACAAACTGAAATGGTTATTCAATTAATCCCTATTTGGGTTGAATAAAACATTGAGCAATAGGCTAACCACATAACCTGTTTTTTTTTAACTAAGTCATAAAAAAATAATCAATTTTAAAAGTAGTCCACAAGACGTAATGTTAATGCAGTCCTTGGATTTTTAGCTTAGACAGATAAGTATGTTAATTGAGCTAAGTCTTCTAATTTTGTATATAAATATATATTTTTCATTTTTTTTACTGTCAGCATTCTACAGAGCACAATGCTGTGCAACTTGAGAGGTGTAACCAAGTAAAGTGATTCTGACACTAAAGATGTTGGATTCTATTTTGTTTTTTTAAAAAACTTTTTTCATCAAATCTGAAGATTGGTATTTCAACTGATGCCAATGTTAATCTCTTAGGAATGCATTGTTGTTCCTAATATTGTTAAGAAAAAAAAATGTCTATGAAGGATAGCACTTATTTCATAGAATGCTTAATTGAGATATCAGAACAAGTTTAGTTATTTCTGAAAAATTATTACATTAATGGAAGATAAAGATGTGAATTACAGCTTGTTCAATAGGTGAATGTCATCTGAAATATTGGAAACAATGTAATTCTGCTTACTGGTTGCTATTCTAAAGGCATTTGGTTGCCTTCTCTGTGAACAGACTACTGGATTTAGATAGCTTTTAATTTGATACAGCACACTTTTTTTATGTTCCATTATTTGGATTTAAGGAATGTGGACTTCCTGTTATGTGTTTACTCTTGAAAACTATTGTCAAAATCAAACTATCACAAGATTTTATGGAGTTGATTGTGTCTATGTTCTTGCAGGAAACTATTCAATAACTGATATTTAAAATATTTAATAAACTGGCTGGCCAGTATGCATGTTTACTTTGGAAATTAGGAAATTAAAGCTCTCAAATTCATTCTACCTGTCATCATGAGAATATGTGGTCGCTAAAAGTTGACAATGACTTAATGATATGTAATTATCATAATTCATACTGTGGTTACTGTTCGAGTTTGAAACATGTTTTATAATGGAACGGCTAGTTAGAGCTTTCATGTAGAGACACTTCATTGCTTTTCTGAGTAGAACTTGTTTTTTAAAATTAAATTTTCAATCTCTATTTTAGGATTTAATGGAATTTTTAAATCCAAATGGCAGTGACTGCACCTTGGTCTTATTTTATACCCCTTGGTGTCGTTTTTCAGCCAATTTGGCTCCTCATTTTAATTGTCTGCCACGAGTGTTTCCAACACTACATTTCTTGGCCTTGGATGCCTCCCAACATAGCAGGTAAATTTTATTATTTTCTGAATTATAATTGTTAAGTTTATTTTATACATTCATAATGTGTGTTTACAATAGTAATAATGTAATGTAATGTAATAAAGTATTAATAACACGTAAGGGCAGAGAATACTTTCTGACTATCCACTGCTCTCTACTCCAGGACCTTCATTTTGTGTGTGGTATGTGTTACATAGTGGTTCTGGTTTAATGAAGAGTAACTGAGAGTTAGTTTTTATAAATTTAAATGAGAAATTTGTTTAGCAACATTTATTCTTCTAATTTACTCTTGCAGTTTATCAACTCGGTTTGGAACTGTGGCTGTTCCTAACATCCTCCTTTTTCAAGGTGCTAAGCCAATGGCAAGATTTAACCATACAGATCGAACTCTGGAAACACTGAAAGCATTTATTGTTAATCAGACTGGTAAGATGAACTATGAATCTGTAGAATTCATAGCTTGATATAGCCCTGTCTAACTCTAGTAAATATTTATTTTATTAACTCCAGGAACATTGTTTTGCCTCCAGTTAGGAAGGTACTAGAAAGCAGTTTCATCATTGATCAAGACGTGAAATTTTGGATGAATACAAAATAAGGTTGCAGTCCTAGCTAGACAAATAATATTCTGCTTCTGACAATTTGGGTTCTGCTGAGGATCTTGACATCCTGTCATTTGTTTCTCAGTAGCCTTATTTGGATAATATAACCATACCCTGGCTTCAAGGGTCAATGTTAATATCATACTCTAATATGGATATTAGTTATGTATATATATTTCAGTTCCTCTGTGATAGTAGGAGTTATTGTTTATGATTCTTTGCATTATTTTGGGATTGAATTGTGGTGGTTAGAATGTAGTACTGCAGGCTACTTCTCCTGACTGCCAGCTGCCTGCAGTTCGGCAGTTTGATTCTCATCGGCTCAAGGTTGACTCAGCCTTCCATCCTTCCGAGGCTGGTAAAATGAGGACCCAGATTGTTGGGGGCCATATGCTGACTCTGTAAACCGCTTAGCGAAGGCTGTAAAGCACTGTGAAGCGATGTATAACTCTAAGTGCATATTCATTGAAAGTGAATGCAAGAAAGGGTTTTTTGTTTTGTTTTTTTGTAGCTATTTCTCTTCCTGTTAGCAAGAAAGAAACCAGGTTTTCTTAGCTTTCCTTTATCCACAATAGAGGGTAAAGCTACTTCTATCTCTACATGCTGTAGCAAATAATTGGGAAAGCTAAGATAGAAATAAACTTACCAAAAGAAGCAGTATATTTTATCAGGAGTGTTTTAAATAAATAAATAAAATATTTTTCTTCATTGCCTCTTGAAGGAGAGAAGAAATCAAGGCACTATCTCCTTTACTGATATGTTTTTAGACTAAGATGTTTGCCTGTTTATTTGTGTCATCTTCGCCTGGTAATATGAAGAGATAAAACAGGCTAATCAACTATTATGAAATTATAAAAAGACAAGCTTATTTGAGGCTGCAAGAGTTCTTAATGAATGAAATGGAAATAGAGCAGCCCACAAAGAATCAAATATGTGATATTAATAGTTTTATTGGAAATATATTTTTACTTCAGTGAATAAAATTTAAAGTAAAATAAACATCTTAGCAGATGATAATTAGTATGCTACAGTCTAAATTTCAAACTAGAAAATGGAAGTTTATATACGCAAATAGCTAAGTATGATTTAGAATGCTTTATTTTGCATCAAAATAATAATTGGATATTTCATTTCAGGAATACAACCTAAGTCTGATGTGGTGGTGAGCGTGGAAGACCATGTTGGTCCCCTGCCTAGCACACTGAGTAAAGGAATAGATTGGCTCCTCTTATTTTCTTTATTGTTTCTTATCAGTTTCATCATGTATGCTACTATTCGGACAGAGAGCATCCGTTGGTTAATACCTGGTCAAGATCAGGAGCATCAGGAGTGATATGTGATTTGAGGACTATTTGCTTTCAGAATAAGTTGATAAACTTGTGAATTCTTCATATCTTGTGAACTGGAGTCCTGTTATGTTTATCGCATATTAAAAATGGCACAATATCATTCATAAGAAATTTCTTAACATACAACAATGAACACTGTAATTGGTTAACTAAATGGTGATGGGACAGCTTTACCCTATAGAATCTATACTCTGCAGACTCCACTTTTAATGAAAAATAATATATATATTTAAAAAGTGGCCTGATAATCTTGATAGAATATTGTAGAAATTCTCACAAATCTGTAGACTGTAGAATGAAAATAATAGATTTAAATGTTAATTGGATTTAGAAACAATCTATCCTCAGCTTTAATGAGGTAGATTTTTTGAAAATTCAGTGCCATTTGATAAATATATAAATACTGACATTTTCACATCTGCGCTTTGATCACAGCATTTGATTAAAATGGTTAGAATTAAGAAAACATTTAACAGGTCCTAATCTTCATGTCATTTATACTGGAAACTGAGACATAGTTTACTGTTTTAAAAGGACATAAAACAATGTTACAATAGATTGGAAAGAGGAGATATAATTTCATGCCTGATAGTGTGATATTTAAATTAAATATGGGTGTAAATATATGTATAATTTCATGGGCACCACCTTTTTAATGGTATTTTTTTTGTTTTGGTGTTTGTGTTTGTAAGAATTTGAATCAACAGAAATTAAAAGTACAATCTTTAACGTGGATAGTGATGGCATTGTGGCTACATTAAATAGAGCTGGATCTTTAGAGCTGTTATAATAAAGCCATTCATGGTAGAATATTTCAACTTTTAAAAGCTTCATTGAAAAGATAGCATAAGAGAACAATATAAAATACCACAAATGCGCAGGACACATAGAAAACAGAATCAAAAGTGGATCAAGATCTGGAAGAAATAATACAGACATACCTTATTGTCCTTTTGCATTGATGACTGAAGTGCTGTTTACTCACAGCTGACTATTTTTGTACACAGACTACAGATCATGAGCTGCTTTTTAAAGTGATTACTGTCTCCTTGAACTCCTTCAGGGAATGTCTATGAAGATTCTCAGACATCCAGGTCATAGTTATCCCAAAGGTGCTTTTAAGTACTTTCTTATTTTTCTTATAAGACTTTCCCTTCTCATCCAAGAAGCTTTTTCAGAGCTGAAAAAGGCCAATTACCTGTGAAAAAGCACCTTAGGGATCCTTCGGAGAATACCGGGTTTCCTAATTCAGCAGCATTTAGTACAAACAGAGCAGAGAGTACTAGATATATTAACACTTTCCTTGCTCAGACAATACTACTCATCCTTTTCTACGGTAGAAAAGGAAAGATTTGATTTCTTTCCTTGCGAGTTCACTAAAAGCGCCACCTGTAGCTGCCGCCGCCTGGGGTGACAAATGGGTGGGGAAGGTGCCTACTCTGATCCCTCGTCCCAATTAGTGTAAGAACTTTTCACTCTCTACTGAGAATACGCAGCCCATTTCGGGCATCCGGGAAAGGCTCAAGCCAAGCTCTTTCCCTCGGGCAGAACCAGGGACCGCCACGCCCTTGGAACCCAGCCTGAGATGATGGACTTGCGCCTGCTATCAAAGGGCTGCGCAGGTCGAGGAGCGCTGGTGCGGGATCGCGGCGAGAGGCTCCCCCTGGCGGCCGCCACGGTTTTGGGGCAGCCGCGGCGCAGGCGCTCGCTGGAGGGGGCGGAGATGCCCGTCTGAGCCATGCTGATCCCCTGCGGGTCAGGATTGGGGCGGCTTCTGCTGCTGCTGCGAGGGGGCCTGGTGGCTGTGGGAGGCCGGGACTGCGGTGGCGGCCGGAGCAACTTCTCAGCTATGGTGAGCGGCTGAGCCGCAAAGGAGCAATCCTCGGAACGATTTGACAGATGGGGGAGAAGGGGTCAGCATAAAATGTGGCCCGGTGACCTTTATTCATATTGGTTTGCTTTCTTTGAAGCTCTTAACTGCGGTTTTAAGCGCTTACAAGGACAATTTAGGGAAAACCGACTTGGAAATCCGGGTTTGGGCCTCTCGGCTCTTTTTTTTGAGAGGCTCAAAGGGAATGTTAAATGTGCCTCGCACGTGTAATTCGAAGATCCAAGTTTGCAATTGGCGCTTTCCCTTTTTCGTCTTGACTTAACGATCTTCCTTACAGGAAGCTCTTTGCATTAAACCTGGGTCTGGCTGGGACTGCTTCGGATTCGGGGCAGGAGGATCCTATATCTAAATACAGGAAGTAGGTGGCTCAATTACCCTTAAGAATTATCTTACCAGCTTAATTCTTAGATCGGCTTTCAGGTTCTGCTCCTATGCCTCCTGATGAAACGATTCAGAGTCGTTGGGGAGCGAGCAGAGTACAAATTTAATAAATAGTACTAATAATTTAGGTATGTTCACCAGTTAACTATAAATAGGCAGGACAAAAATACCATCTTCATAAAGTCTTTTTGTGCTGTTGTATGGCTCAGTATTTCTCTGCTTAGTAAATGATTGATCTTGCAACAGCTTTCATAGGGATAATCATTGTTGCAGCAAAAGATATTGGAGTATCTTAAATGAACACATTTATTATGAATGATTTAGTGGAAAATAGAGAGAAAATTACGATTTTAAAATAACTTAAATGCCAGATTGGTTTTTTTTTTCCCTTATGGATTTTGTACATTGGTTAATGAAGGCTTGTACTAAACAGCAGACTAGTATTACAGGCATTACTACTACCTGTATCTGTGGCTTCTCATCTGTAATGGGCAATTTTCCTATAATCAAGTGACTACCAATTGCTTTGCTTATTATGGCAAGTTAGGTATAATAATAGCTGGTTAGGCAAATAGAAATCTGTTCTACTTTGGGAAACTAATGAGATTTCTTTTTACATAGTGATCTAGTGCTTGTTTATACAAAATGAAATCCCACTCAGAACTAATTCCCAAGTAAGCATCTGTGGCAGTGCACACAATTTGCAACCTAGTAAGTGCTAAAAACTCCCAATGTATTTCAGAATAAAATTATCTAAAAGTAACCTTCATATGTTATATTCATTCTTATGAATCACGTCTTTAAGAGTTTGCTTGTTAATGGATGGAGCCTTCTCACATATGGCCATATAATTTGCTTATTCATCTAAAATATTATTTGGATAATATAATGTAATCAAGATAGATTTTTTTGTTCATTCAGTATATTGTTCCTTGTCTGTTACACACACACACACACACACACACACACACACACACTTTATGCAATTGCTTCATCAGACATCCTGAGAGGAAGATTGTGTATTAAATAATATGATCAATTGGAATGCTCACAGCTCCAGCTTTTGGAGCAGCTGAATAGAAATGGCGAAGTTGCGATATGACACTGTTTGCGTATTAATGGCCCAATAGTTACTTTAAGTAACCTTGAATTCAGGAACAGATTGCAAGCCTGTGTGTATTCATCTGGCAAACAAGAAGTGTATTAGTTTTGAAATTCAAGAATGAAGATCAGGCATGCATTCTACAGCAGACATTGAAGTAATGACAATGTAGGAAGCTATTAATAATAGTACATAATAGCTAATGTATAAAACCAAGAATCTCTAATACATTTTCTTAGATATATTCTCAGTGTGTGAGTCTAAGGCTTGCAAATTGGTGGTTCTTAACTAGAGACTCATAGGTTATTTGATCTGTTAATCTGAGTTACATACGGATATTTCAAACTCAAAAACTTGATTTTGCTGTATATCATATACCAGATTATTCTTAAAAAGGAAATACTGCTTATTTCACATTTTGAAAAATATATTTTAATAATTTCTAAAAATATATAGGAGAAAACTTTCAGATAAGCATAGACCCAAAATAGTTTGACATGGTTTTTCAGGAAAGAACTACTAAAAAGAAAACGGGAATTGTACAACATTAAAACGGAATGGTGAGTGGACTTTGAAATGTCAACAGTTAACAAAAAGCCATGATTTGTGATCTGTGATTGCATCCTACCACATAACTGGTTAAAGGTGGTAAGTAAATAAAAGTAGACATTTGAAGTCATGTAAGAAAAATAAAATATTTCCCTGGGCCAATCGATTCTATCTCCATTATCAGTTACTCATGTAGAATTAGTAGTTAATATTAAATGGCATGCAGACAATACAGTATGTCTGGAAAAATTAAAGAGAGACAATGGCCATATCTTCCTTTCCAAATTCTTTCTACATTTTTAACAATTTATTATCATTATTTTGTCTGAAGGTGATAATGTGTAATATTATTTATTTGCAGGAAAAATACATGGACCACAGATAGTCCTCTACTTATGATTGGTTGCTTAGCAAACATTTGGAGTTATGGCAGACACCCCCTCCCCCCAAAAAAGCTGTTTAGAATCCGATCCTGAAGTTATGGTTGCTGCAGAATCCCCTTATGACCGACTGCTTATCTCCCTCCACCCACTGGATCCCTGCAGGCCTACCTACTTAGGCTCCACTTCATCGTTCTCACTTTTTTAAGAACTCTGGAGTTAGAGTTAGGGAAAGGGGACAAGCCACAGAACACCTTGTTTTGCTTCCCTAATGAAGCTTCACAGCATTCCATAGTGTTGCAAAATGCTGCAGAGCTCATGTTAGGGAATATTCCGGAATCAGATGCTATTTTCTTAGTGGCCACATTTCAGTGTGGCTGCCTCCAGGATTGCGCCACCCAGCTCAGCAAGGAGTGGTCTGTCCACTTTTCTTAACCTGACCTCAAGCTCCAGAGGTCTTAGAGAGAAGATGGATGTGGGGCCTATTGGATGGGAGGCTCCAAGGTCCCTTCCAACTTGACTATTATTATTATTATTAGTAGTATTAGTATTATTAAATATATCTTTTTAAATTGATTCATGCTGAAGTCCCATCCACCAGTAAATAATTGCAAATATAAATGTGGGATATCGACATTATATAATTAATAAAAGTATGATTGATTATTAATTACTATAAATATCTTTTCAGTAAGGCTAAAGAATTTACTTGATATATAATTATGTCAACTGCTGCTTTCTTTATTGTTATATTATTTACATGATTTCTAATTTTTGTCTATATAATTATGTCATATTTATATTTAAGATGTCTATTATTTCTTGTTTAGAATGTTTAAATTCTACCTCACCTTGAATAAGTATTTACATTTGAAATATAGTGTCACCTAGTGGACAAAATAGTCTTTGTGTATAACAAATGTAATTATTCAAATTCATAGGATTGATGTTTCAAAAAGTGTCCACTTTACATACATATCTGAAGTTTCAATTGAATTTCAGGGATTTATGATATTTAATCTGATTTATTTGAAATGTTTGTTTGAATGCCAGATTGTCCTGAAGAAGTGCTCTTAGTTTTTTCCTTTGAGGAAATTGGTTGATAGAAAGTTTATTTACTGTTTAGTGTTTATAAACTGTAGAAATAGAAAGTAGTGAATTATGTAAAATGAAATGTTAAAAACAAATCAGTATACATATTAAATCAAACTTTGAAGCAAGACTACTCCAGACATCCTTCTTAAATCATTTTTAAATTCATGGTTGAATTTAAATCTAGTTTATCATTTTATTTTTAACTACATTAAATAATCTAGTCCATTTTTCAAAATTAGATTGATTTCAAAAGATTCTTCTGTAATATAGGAACTTAGATTTGTTTTTTTTTCTTGGTTTCTAACATAGTTTTATTTACTTCCACTCAGAAGTAAACTCCAGCAGATCCACTCTCTCTTTCTCTGTGAATTGCAGACTATGAGTTCTGCCACTCCATAATTCCATCCTATATGTAAAACATCCCTGAAGATATTCATGTATGTTTATAATCATTTTTTTTATTCTGGCAAGGATACTTAATATTCTTTTTGCCAACAAATTATTCTTTGCAAATGGTTTTTGCCAAGGATGTACAAAGAATGCTTTCAGGTTTCCAGCTACCTAGTAGCTGAGAAAAAAATGGCAGCTCAACTGCCTATATTTTTCTTTCAAATTTTACATGTTGGCAACATTCATGGTTTTCACATTTAGACAACAACATCTGCTGTTTTAGCACCAGGCTTCTGGAGAACAGAAAATCTACGATTATATAGAAATGTGCAGGGGCATTATATTGGAATGCCACCTAAAATGCACAAACTTTGTTCATCATTCTAACTTCAATAAATGTGTCTTGTGGATCATCCAGATATAAGGATTTGGATAAGTCTATATGGGGTTGTGTTCATCACTGTTCTTGTTAATGAAGAATATACATCCCCTGACTGATACAGTAAATATTATGTATTAAAAGATTTGAAGGGAATGTTAAGAGAGTGCTTGGGCCAGTTTTGTGGAATTCTTAAGACTCTTTGAAAAAAATCTTGGCAGTTTATATTGTTCATTGCATCTGGTTAAAAAAAAAGTTTAAATTTTTAGGTATCTCCAAACTTGATTAGGAGAAAAATGAGAAATAAAGCAGGATGATGGGCAGTCTGTCCAATCAGAAAACAGATGCCTATAGATAGCTTTGTGGGTTCACCTACAATGTTTGCTAGAAAAGGGACAGAGAAAACTTAATTTTAAAAACCTGCCAAGAAAACATAGTATTTTAGATTTTACTCTGTATTAATATACATTTGGAGAGGTACAGTCAGCAGGTGGTGTCAAGCTGCAGAGATTGGATATTCCAGAATGTGATAAACTGCCAAGAGAGAAATAGTTGTAAATCTGCCTCTAATATGCAGATGTGTAAAAACCATCCATACAGATGAAACAGCCAGATTTTAAAGGTCTCTGCTTACCTAAAATATAATATGAAGGCATGTGTTTGTCAGAGCAGAATATGCTGCATTATGTATAAGATTGTTTTCTCATTTTAAAAATAACTTTCATTTTTGTCCCACTGGAGCCATAGCAAAATAACCTGAACCAAGAAATCACCTCACCAGACAATGTTCTCTTTTTAACTTTTTACAAATCTATTCTTCCTTTCTAATAATTCAATTTCTTTGTTCTTTTTCCAGAATTATCTCTCTCAAGCTTTATTAATTCAGAGTCCTTAAGGGGCTTTGGGAGATCTCCTTCTTTAGGGAGGTTTCCCTCAAAAAAATAAGTTTTTCAAATTTCAGAGGTCTCTCTGAATATGCCTTTTAGTTTTACATGGATGTTGTTGTTTGTTTATATAAGGGCAGGGATTTCCCCTGTATTTGACTTTATATTGTTAATTGCTTATATTTCAGTATTACAATGACATGAGAATAAAGGGACATAAAACAGCCTAGCTACCACTAAATTTCATCCAGCGTTTCTCAGTTAAATCAATGTCCAAGCTTATTTTGCCAAGTAATAGTACAGTAATAATTTTGCTTCTTAGACATTCATTGAGCATCCTGAAATAGCTGAGAATTCTGTCAGTTGAGCTTTTTTTTTTAAACTCATGTTTAATTAAGAAAAAGAGTTTACCAAACATAGTATTAGTAGTATTTAGGGCTTCTGCAAAAGTAATTTTTTAGTCCCTCTTTGTTTTTCTTTGCTAGTCCAGAAAATGTACCTTTCAAAATAAGATTTTCAAAATAAAATTATTGGACACAATTAGATTAGCATTACTCTAAATTTAACATTGTTTATATTATTCTCCCCAGAGTTGTTTTGGATAATGAGATGGGCCGCATATAAATTTAATAAATAAATTAGGAGAAGGAGCTATGGTTTTTAATTATGGTTAAAAGATCAGAGAGATTAAACCTTATAAAAGAATAGTATGTTTAGCATTGTACTGAGATGAAGTAGCTTTTATCAATGAAAATGTGGGTGATAATATTATATCCTTAACGTGTCCCAAGAACTCTATTGTTGGTCCACCAAATGAATTAAAAGATCTTGAAATTAATTTTAGTGTTAAGCATATATAAAAATAAAACTATATTTGAGTGATTAAAAGTCACTATTAGTAAAACTGAAGACATTTTTATTTCTTATTCGGTGTTCAGATTTCAAGAGCATGCTTCCCTTCTGTTGGAAGTAATGTAAAAGTATTTTCAATTCTAATGGATTATATTTGCTAATTATACAACAGCATCTGTTCCCATCTCCTCTTTTCTAGGACAATGCAAACTTACCACGTGCCCCGTTTACTCAAATGCAAACATCAATTATGTTTGTTTTCTACTTAAGATGCTGCCTAAGAGTTTAGATGCTACTTAACTTCATATTCTAAATATAATGAATCCATATATGACTTTAAGGGAGGGAGCAGAATCAACCTGTACAATTCTATTTGTGAAGACACAGCCAGTAATGTTTGCAAATATTTAATACAATGTGATCTTTTTAGTCTAATAATTATCTGTATGTTTAACTTGTATTTATGATGCATTTTTTCCCTCGTTCTTTGCCATCATAGTCTTCACAATCTAGCTGGTTGAGCACGGAAGAAAGGAACCAAGCTTTGTATGATCTTAAAGCTGCTGGCTGGTCTGAACTCACTGAAAGAGATGCTATATTCAGAGAATTCATATTCAAAACTTTTAATCAGGTAAATACCATTAATTAATAATATTCTTGATTTAAAGGAAATACATTTGTCTTGATTCTCCCTTGTACTTGAAAAAAACCTTACGCTACCAGACTCTGTTATTTAGAGTTTTACAACTTTATGATGAATGATGATGATTTTTCTTTAAAAATATGAAAAGTGATACATTTTTTAAAGGATGATAAAACTTTGTACTGAATAAGACCCAACCTATTTATATTTGACTGAAACTTTAAAGTTTAATTGCTATAATTGTTCTTCAGAAATTAAACTGTATTTTTTCAAATGTTGAAAATGTCAAAAGTTTACGACCTTGTGGGGCTTCATTACTAGCTGTCTGGGTCCACATGTGGCTTGTGGGCTGAGGGTTGGACAATTCTGATTTAATTTAAAATGCTAATGAAGAGTCTTTAAATTGACAAGTTAGTGGATTGCAGAACTTCTAATCTTCATTTAAAGACTGAATAATATTAATTAATGGTATTTAAAACCAGAACTGGAGAGACTTATATTCACACCTAAATTCAAGAATGTATGGATATTTTTTATTTGGAAAGCTAGAATACTTTATGTTTTAATTTTATGTATCTGCACAAAATGATCATATTCACTTACTCTAATGTTCTCTTTGATAATTTGTCTAAATGCTCATTTAGTTCAGACATGAGTCTTGTCTGTTAATTCATGCTTGTTTTACTTCAGGGGTCCCCAACCCCCGGTCCATGGACCAGTCCTGGGCTGCAGCATGCCAGCAACCAGTCCGCACAAACAAGGAAAGCCCCATGCACAGGATGCAGGCAGCACACAAAACCACACCCCCTCCAGTCCACAGAAAAAACTCTCTCCACGTAACCGGTCCCCGATGCCCAAAAGGTTGGGGACCTGTGTTCTGCTCGACCATATCATTGTACCTTTAGAAAAAACAGCATTGAGTAGGCACTGTTATAGGTATATAGAATTTTCTGGTAAATTCTAAGAATATTAATTTTCATCTTTAGTTGTGATCCTTAAAACAGCCTACCTGCTAAGTCAGATTTGTACTCTCCATTACTGTATATTACATATGAATGGAATTTGAAATTGAGAGCACCTGGTTTCTCCTATCATGTCAAGCATGAATGATATTAACAGTGGCTTGTTGAAGAAACCATAGTGATTTGGTTTATACACAAATCACCCTGTATCTTGTTTTATAGACTGCATTGCATTAGTTTGACATGTGGGTATATTCAGAAATAATTTGCCTAAAGCTATCTAGTGAGCTTAGGATAAAGGCTACATAAGCATCTGTTCCTAACCAGGATGATGTCAATATGATAAAACGTGTTGTGAGCTCCCCCTTTTGTACTTGAATTGCAGCATCACTTGCATGTGCAGAAGGGATGGAGTGTGCACTGCAACATCTTAACACATCCTGTCACCTTCTCAAATTTCCCCCTACTATGGGTGCCTGTGGAAAGCAAGGTTTGGGGACTTCCTGATTCATTTACTTGGCATGTTAGCGCAATGCAAAGAGGTCTGTGTTTATTGACATTACAGATGAAAATATATCAATTAAAAACTAGTTCTATTTTTATGGAATTCATTGTTCTCAAGTAATTAATTTAATTAGCACCGGTAAATTCATGAAGAATTAGGATGTCAGTGGCTACTAGTTCTGATATTTGTTTGCTACTTCTGGAATCAGTGGAGCATGTGTTAAATGCTACCTGCAAGGAAAGTAGTAAAAAAAAATGGGATATCGTTTTTTTCATCAATTTTTGGTGAACTTTTGGAAAACATCTGATTAACCCTTGTAGTACAAAGATTGTTGGACCAGAAGAGTCTGGCCTAATCCATATTAGGAAAGGTGACTGGTAGAAAGTTGAAAATATAGTTTTGTTTCGTTTCTTAGATGGAAAAATGGAAGCAAATTGTTCTTACGGTTGTTGTTGTTGTTAATTGCGAAGTCGTGTCCGACCCATCGCGACCCCATGGACAACTTCCTCCAGGTCTTCCTGTCCTCTACCATCTTCTGGAGTCCATTTAAATTCACACCTACTGCTTCAGTGACTCCATCCAGCCATCTCATTCTCTGTCGTCCCCTTCTTCTATTGCCCTCAATCTTTCCCAGCATTAGGCTCTTCTCCAGTGAATCCTTCCTTCTCATTAGGTGGCCAAAGTACTTGAGTTTCAACTTCAGGATCTGGCCTTCTAAAGAGCAGTCGGGGTTGATCTCTTCTAGGACTGACCGGTTTGAACGCCTTGCAGTCCAAGGGACTCTCCTGTTCTTATGGTTAGCATTTTAAAAAGCCTTTTTCTTCAGAAAGGAGAAAAAAACAGGAAAATAAAATATATCATGTTCCTTAGTTCATATAATATAGCTCTGCATTGGCAATTATGTAATATGAATATAAGTTGAGGGCACTGTCCGTTAGAGATCTTTTCAATCTGTATTTTATAAAACATTACGCTTGTCAACATTACAGTAAAAATTTGGCAGTGCAGCATCCATTAATCCTACTCTGAGATGAGAAATTAAATAGGGAGTTGAAATGTGAGTGTATTATATACAGGTAGTCCTTGACCTAAGACTACAATTGAGCCCCAAATTTCCACTGCTAAGCAAGACAATTGTTAAGTGAATTTTGTCTCATTTTATGACCTTTCTTGCCACAGTTGTTAATTGTGAATTGCTGCAGTTGTAAACTTAGTAATGCAGTTGTTAAGTGAATCTAGCTTTCCGATTGACTTTCTTTGTCAGAAGGTTGCATAAGATGATCACATAATCTTGGGACACTGCTACCGTCATAAATAAATGCCAATTGCCAGGCCTCCAAATTTTGATCATATGACCACTGGAATGCTGCAAAAGTCGTAAGTTAAAAACGGTCATAAATCCCTATTTTTGTTCCATTGTAACTTTAAATAATCACAAAACCACTGGTTTTAAGTCAAGGACTTAAATATTAAGATAATTCTCTGGTCCTGAGAGGTATCCGTGGGCACCATGGTGGCATCATATGGGGAATCTCACATAGAAATCAAAAGTTTTCTAAGTCTTTTTCTAGACTAGGAAAGATGTGTATTTCTAAATGTTTATAGAGATAAGGCTACTCTTTTACTATTTATATATTTATATCCTTCAGGTCACTCCTGTTTATTTTGAACCTCAGCCTACCTTTTGAAAATAACTTCATTACTTAACTGAATATCCTCTCAAAAAGAATTCCCTTTAGAATAATACATTTGACTGGAGGTATTTCCCCCCCCCATTTTTTCCTATTTTGCATTTCTTCTTATTTTTGAACTTGTTATACTTTTATTTTATTAAAACATAGAAGATATAATCGTAGGGCTGGAAGGGTCTTCTGGTCCAACCCCCTGCTCAAGGCAGGAGACCTGTTGAAAAATCCTAATAAGAACAATAATAATAATAATAAAAATTCTACACTCAAAGTTGTATTCACAAATCTAAGAGAGACCCTAGCAAATCAATTCTGAAAAATCGGAAAACCAAAAAGAAAGCACCCCTCCCGCCCCCAATTCAGACTTCAACAAGAACCACATTGAATATGGGGCCTGTCACTCACTCACTCACTCACTCACTGTCATAATATTCTTCTGGCTTTTTTAGGTGGGATTATAAAGTGTATAGTTGAAAGGTCAAAGACATGATATTCCTTATTTTTGTATGCTCTTAGGAAGTTTCCTTCTTTCTGCTGTATGATCAGCTGGGTTTCCTGTTTATGTTGGCCAAATGGCAATAAAAGAGACAAGGATATTTAGAAAGAAGCTCATGTTGAAGAATTACAGGACTGGCTGGAGTACTTGAAAGCTGTTTACAAAACTACTATGTTTATTAAATAAAGACTTCAAGCTAAATACTTGATTTAGCTTTCTGTGTAACTTTTCAAGCTCTGATATCTAAAAGTGAGAAAGTAAACTCTACATGGGTATCAGGACTGCATCTAATATCTAAAACTGGGACATCTTTTCAAGGTTGCTAGCTTGACTGTTAAAATGCACAATTGTGTTACATATGTGTATATGTGTACTATATATTCAAGGCAGTCGTGGCTCCTGACAACTGGCTTGAGAAGCCTGTTCAGTTTTCTTGCAACATTTTCAGAAATGGCTTTTCACTGCCTTCTTCCTAGGGCTGGGAGAGAGGGACTGGCCCAAAGTCAAATAGCAGGCTTCATGCCTTAAAGTAGGGCTAGAACTCAGAGTCTTCTGATTTCTGGTCTGGTGCTTTTAACTATTACATCAACTAGCTCTTTTTTTAAAATAAAAAAACAAGTTTAGGGAAAGAAGATAGCTTGTAGATTCCTAATAAAATAGAACAAAAAAATACCTATATAGAATTCTGCTTAAGTGAATAGGAATTTCTGGAAGGGTAGATTTTTTTTTTAAGATTGTTGGCTTCATCTGCAGTTATTTAAAAATCCTGAAATGGTAGTCAATGTTCTATGACACTTATTCATGACATGATATAAAACGTGTACTACATATAGTGCCTTGGTACCAAATCATATATTTTTAAGGATTGAAATTTCATAGTTATTAAATTCATACATCCAAAATAGATCTAAAATATACTAGTTTCTCTGGGTTATCTGCATTCAATAACTTAATATCCTATCTAGCTTATATGACAAGAAATGCCTAATGATTCATAGCAACATTGCACTCCTCTAATTACCAGAAACAATATCCCTGCAAATTATACCTACTACTTAAGTGGTAATAACCAACACAACTTTCCTGAATACCTTTCTCACCCTAGGAGAGGAGCTGTTCCAAAGAGAAGCCATTATAGAGAATACTTGTTTCCAAAAGCCCAGTTGGGTTACAACATGTCCTCTTTGCTAGATTATATTTGGTGAGCAGTTTCTACTTGGAGCAAACGGTCTCAAATATATCCATGTTCCATGCCATAAAGGTCTTTATAGGTAATAATCAGAACTTCATGTTTCACTCAGGCCACCAGTGCAGCTCTTGCAGTAGAAATATTATAT